CCAGCTGTCAGATTTGTTTTTAATAGAATGTTTTAATAAACAATATAATGGGTTCACAGGCGCCAAGGAAAGAGTCAGAGTGCACCCTGGTCCCCATGCTGGAGACCCCACATGTTTATGCCTGGACTCCATTCTTTTCCTGGATCTTCAGGTGACGGTGGCAAGGAACCTATTTGAAGAATTATACTTGGTATGCCAGCTGTAATCCTTCCTAAATTAATTTGGCTTGGGAACACTTATCCATGCCTTGGCTGCATCATGTGTAGACTATTACATGGTGCTCTGTGTGGGGCTACCCTTGTCTGGGAGCTTTAATTGGTGCAAAATGTGTCAGGTAGGCTGCTAAGGAGGGCATGGCATCAGGACCTATCGTGCTTATTCTGAAAGACTTGCTCTGGTTGCCAGTTGCTTTCTGGGTGCAATTCAAGGCATTGAGTTTACATTCCAAGCCCTAAACAGTTCAGGACTTAGAAATCTGTTTTGCTATGCACCTGTCCAGGGACTAAATCAGCAGGAGAGGCTCTTTGAAGGTCCCCATTACCTGGAAAGGCTTATTTGTACTGATTCCTATTGTACTGCCAGAAACCACACTTCTCAAGAACTATGATTTACCTTCACTCTGTTAGCTTTTAGAAAGGATAAAAAGATGCATCTTTTCCATGTAACCCTTTAAAATGTGTAGCTCAATGTTTTAATGGTTCTACTAATTTAATATTACTTTTATTGTTTAAAATTGTTGTATACCTCTTTGATGGCTTTATAGCAGGTAAGGTGGTCCATATATCAGAATCTGACAAAAATGTTGCTTTCTTTCTAAAAGCTATTCAGATCACCTTTTTTAAAATAAAGGCAAAAAAGGCAGCTATAACTGCATATGTGGTTAGTGATCTAGAAATTTCTTGGAAGTAGGTTTCCTCGTTGGATTTGTGTATGCAGATAGGAAACAAGATGTGGGCCAGATGACAGTCTTTTGGCAACATACCTGGGAACATACCTTCCACAGGCTGTTATATTTCTAATTCCAGAAGGCACATAAAGCAAAGAAACTGAAAAAAACAGCAGTTGTATCCAGGCTCAGACAAGCTTATGGCAGACCTGGGGCATGGTCCTTGATATTATTCACTTGTACTGTGACGGCCCTGTGGAAATTAAGCAACTGGAGGAAGAAAGGAGAGAGGTAACAAAGCCTTATCTAAGTCATGCACAGCAACAAAACCTGGAAGACTGGCTCAGTGTCGATCCATTCTCAGCTAATGGTCAGTCTTGAACCTGTCCTGTTAGCTTTTATCCAGCCTAACTAATATGCGATTATCAATTGGATACATACATTCCTTCCTCAGAAATGGCTCATGTTGCCTCCTTGTGCAAAGCTTGGGGGTGGATGTGGCAAGAATGGAAGGGCTACTGCACTTTATCTTGGTAAAATGTGGGAAATGTCTAATTCTTTAGTGAAGGTCATAATCTGAGATTATTACTTTGCAATCTTTCTGCAAAGGCTTTTTAAGGGGGGATTCATGCCAGGCAAATTGTGTTTCTCCTAGAATGGGGCAGGGTACCCCCAGAAGCAGGAATCCATTGCAACAAATTGTGCTAAAAGAAAATATGTGGGTAGAATCAAAGTTCTCCCTGATGCCAAGGAGAGAGCGATGCTTGGGGTGCTTCATGCCAAGGGAGTTCCTGGATTTTTGGGGGCAAGGGTATGATAGGAAGATTATACCATTCCCCAATATCATGATTAAAGGTACTGATACCTTAAAACTTATTTCAGTTTGTGTCTGATGCACTTTTGGCTGCCTTGGTCACATGAGTGAGTGGCCAAGAAATTAAGAAAGGACACCAATGCCTGATTACTAAATATCTACAGAGATCAGTTTCCATGCCATATCTTAACATGACCAATAAACAAAACCCAGGATAAAGTTATGCAGATAGAAACATAGAAACAAAGCAAGTCAGAAGGGGTCTTCCAGGCCATCCAGTCTGACCTCCGGCTCTGCTCATGACATGCCTACCATAGGCATGTCCAGCCTATCCTTAAACACCCTCACCAATGGGGCTTCAACCACCTCCGGTGGAAGCCCATTCCATACCCTAGAGGTTCTAACCGTCAGGAAGTGCTTCCTGGCATCCAACTTAAATCTTGGTTCGCTGAGCTTTGCTCCACTGGAACGTGTTCTGCCCTCCTCCGTAGGGGATAACAGGTCATGATCCACCTCTATGTGACACCCCCTCACATATCTATATGTTGCCAACAGATCCCCTCTGAGTGTCCTCTTCTCAAGGCTGGAAAGACCCAGTTCCCTCAGTCTCTCCTCATATGGTTTACCCTGCAAACCAGTCACCATCCTTGTGGCCCTACGCTGCACCGATTTTAACCTGGCTATATCCCTCCTGTAATGAGGGGCCCAGAACTGAACACAATACTCCAGTTGCAGGTACACAAGAGTAGTACAGAGTGATAGTAATACCTCCCTCAATCTAGAAGCCACACTTCTGGCTATGCATCCAAGGGTGGCATTCACTCTCTTGACCGCCACGTCACCCTGCTGACTCACATATAGCCTGTTGTCGACCAGTACCCGAGATCCCTTTCACAAGAGCTGCTCTCCAGCCACTTGTTCCCCATCCTGTACCTGTGACACCTCTTCCTGCGTCCCAAGTGCAAGACCTTGCACTTATCCATATGGAACGCCATGCTGTTGTCTCCTGCCCACTTCCATAGTCTGTCCAGATCCTTTTGGATCTGGGGTACCTGCTCCTCAGTTGTGGCCACTGCCCCCGTTTTAGTACTGCCTGCAAATTTGATAAGCAGACTGGTCACCCCTTCTTCCATGCTGTTGATGAAAAGATTGAACAGGATCGACCCCAGGACAGAGCCCCAGGGGACCCCGCTTGTCACTGGCTGCCATCCTGATGATTCCCAACTAATGGTTACCCTCTGCTTTCGGTCCATCAGCCATGCCCTAATCCATTGGACAGTGCATTGGTCTGTCCCAAAACTGCTCAATTTCTCAACCAGGATATCATGGGGCAATTTGTCAAAGGCCTTGCTGAAATTCAGGTAAACCACATCCACTGTCTTCCCTCTGTCAGGAGAGGGATTGTCAGAATGTAGCAGAATTGAGTTTTAATGGTTCCTATTACATTTATTTTATGCAACTGGCTACATGTTTCTTCGAAAAAGCTAGCCTAGGTCAGTGGGGATAGTCCCCTCATGCACATTTCTTTCTCCTATTTCCTTCTGTGGGAAGAAATTAAACTGCTGCACTTGAGGGTGCTGTTATAATGAGGAAAACCTGCCAGATCCCACCGGCAGGATTGGACCAGGACATGCGGCAGACCATAGCCAGCATGTCATATGGATGAAGGATTTTTCTGCTCCATGATAAATAATGACTAACTTCCTTTTGAATGTTTTTTCAAGCATGTTGAAAAACCCGCATCCTCTGCCCTTATCACTGTGTGACTTTTGCAGCTTTTTATAGGTTACAGACTGTCAATGATTAGCCAGAGCAGTTCACTGTTAAGAGCTTGTCATGTATGTTTTGTAACTAAAGATAGAAACATGAATGCCAAAGAATCAATGCAGGAGCATTTAAGAGAAGCCCAGTTCATTCAGGGCAAGTCTGAGCAGGGTCTAAAGGGACTCTTAAAGTAGTATATTAGGCTAGTAATACGAAGCAAAAGGTCCTGTTTTTAAGAGCCCACGGGCATAATGAGGCTCGTGGAAGAGGCCACCTGAGGGATGCTTCTGCCGTGGATGCAGCTGCTTCCATTGACAGGCACCCAACTCCTCTTGCCTTTCTTCAGATGCTAGAAAATGCTCCCTAGGCTGGCAACCTGCTGATCCTATTTATAGACCATAAAAGGGGCATCATCATTTATCACAGCCAGGAACAGGGTTTGTAGGACTGCTAATGCAAGGGAGAGGGGATTCCAGCTGACTGCTTCGATGTTTTTCCATTAGTTTTCTGTGCTTCTGAAGTGGATGACAAAAGCCCAGGCTATAACTTAGATGCCAAGTCCAGAGAAAAAGGAAGAATCTAGATTACAATGGTAAAGTAAACAGAGTGGTCCCCCCAGTGCAGGTGAGAGCACAGCTGCAGGTTATGACAATGTGTTTCCTTAACATATTCCAATGTAAGATTGCAATAAGGACATTGCAATAAGGACTCAATGCCCCAGAGTAAGTCCTAGTCTAGTAGGCACAGGATTACATAGGACTGTGCTACAATCAACTGTAGCCTTAGAGTGTGTTGTGGGTCTTAGCTGGCAGCATTAAAAAGGCAAATTTGTTTTCAGGTAATAAAATACTGAAGTCAGTACTACCGAAACTCCAA